TAGTGGAATCGATCTAGTTTCAAGTGGCTATCACAGGTGGAAGAGCATGTCGAGCTCTCTCCCTTCGCTGATACATTCAGAACAGTTGTGTAATAACGAAAACAAAGTTGGAAAAGACCATGATGCTATTTTTCGTTATTTTTTTTAATCACCTCGAGAGGTTTCCTCGTTAGTCCACTCTATATATGACGACAAAGAAGATGATAGGAGCATCCGGACTGTGTTTCTTGATTTTCAGAAAGCATTTGATAAAGTTTGACATAAGGGATTATTATATAAATTGAAGCAAAACAGTTCCACAAATGCCGATACTCGGTTCGTTCTTATTTCTGATATATCGATGATATTAGACATGATTTAAAGAGCTTAACTCGTGTTTTTGCTGATGATATATTTTTCTGATAATGATGACGATATAATAATGAAAGTATTAAATGAGGATCTTAAAAAATTGAGGAATGGTTCAACTTTTGGATGTTGTCTCTGAATCCTCTCAAGTGTGGTAGTACGTCATTTGGGGAACTATTTCAACCACGCTTAACTATTTCAAACCACATCTTAAGAAATGTGGATAATCACAAATATTTAGGTTTTTATCTGACATCAAACCTTTTTTGGGATACACATAAAAATATGTGACTTCCAAGTAGTCTTGCATCGTAGGTTTGATGGCATCGTATATAGCACAGCCACTCTTGACCAAACATACAAGTCATTTGTTTTACCTATTCTGTCATTTGCGTCACCAATTCTCTCATCTGCGCCTGCATATCAAATCAAATTGTTATATCGTTTACAGCGTAAAGCTGCACATATTGTCTCAGCGGCTATACAGGACTATGATCGAACTAAAATGCTCGCTGTCCTTGGATGGAGAACTATTATTGATGCTTTTAAATATCATAAAATAGTATTATTGCAGAAGATTATATATGGTCATACGCCAATATTCTTGTCCAATAAAATCCATTTTTCAAATAATCTTCAATATGATCTGCGGTCTAATAATATTAAAATTACTTTAAGTAACTCATCTATACGTTCAGCAAATTTTATGAAAACTTTTTTTCCATCATCCGTACGGATTTGGAACATCCCACCTCATGAACTAACCAAACCTAACATCCAAGATGTTTTAAAAGAAATTTTCCAAAATAGAGTTCCAGTTTGTTATTCCAACATTTGGAATACGTAATACACTAAGAACAACTGACATTGTTTTCGAACAAATGTGAACTAGACTTTTTAATTATGACTTGTACCATCGTCATTTAATAGACTATGTATCTGACGATGATCCAAAAAAGACAGATAAATGTGCACGCGGAACTCAAAGAAAACTATACATCACTACTTATTACTTTGCCCTATCTATGATACCGCTCGTCTAGCACTATTTGAAGCTATTACTACAGTAAATGTACCTGTTCCTACTACGTTCGATCTACTTCAACTCAATGAGATGCTATGTAGAGAACATTTCGAATTTGTATATGGATGCGTCTTAAACCATATCACCGAATCTAAACGTTTCAACATAAAATCATACGCGGGGCAATCAAAAGTGTAACATCAAGAAAAACAAATAATAATATAATGTCTACAGTAAAATCGATGATCAATGATCTGAAACAAAAATAAGTACTGTAAGCGTCTGTAGGATACCAAGTCATTGTGGAAATATTGAAACGATTTCGCGGATGAAGCAGCAAATAAGAAAGCTCGAACAAAGAGGAAATTGAGAAAACAGATCAAATTATGAAAACAGATGAAAAGAACAAAAGCGAAAGAAAAACAAAAACTTAGACATACCAAGAAGTGCACCAAATCTAACCCAGTTTTCGTGAATTAGATATAAACTACCAACTAACATCTCCTGATTCCATCGAAGTATCGAATTACAAAAGGCTGTGCTACAACGAAAGGTAAAATCCACAATATTGAGGGAATTCTAACGACTGACACCGGAGCAGGAATCACCATTGGCAAATATAACTATTGGAAACTAATCGTCGGAAATTCTGATTTAATCGATCGTTATTTCGGAGCCGATGTAGTTGGACCTGAAGGGAGTTCAACAGAACCGGTTGGATGGGTAGAAGTAGAAATCACTGTAGCTGACCAAACTACTTGCCGCTCATCTATACTAGCTAAAAAGTTCAATAAGTTAGTCCTCCTCGGAACAGATTTCCTCCACAAAGCAGGAATTGTCCTGGATATCCGAGACGGAAGGTTATGGCGAAAATCTAGGCCAACTGAAAAATATCTTCTATCCACGGAATTATATCAGACTGGCCGTCTAGATGTCCCTGTTTATGCAGCTGAGAATCATTCTTCCTTATCGTGATACTTATCTCGCTGCCAGAGTCCCATCAGATTTCGATCCAGACCCATTGGAAGCTACCACCGCCTCCTTTCCAAGCAGAATATCTACCGAAAATTGTCTAGTGGTCCTTAAAAATAATTCTACAGTTTTACAAATAGCAAATCTGACGTTACGACTGAAATTCTTTAACCACAATCACAACACTATGTAATCCATAATTCCGTTGATTATCACATGATGAATAGTGATTGCATCAGATTAAATTCTGAAAATATTGATGAGTATCATGATAGCAAAAACTTCAAGAATAAAATAAAAAATAAAAATTATCGTCACAATATCAACAAAAATATTGTTCATGATAATCATCTATTCAGCAAAATCAGTTACGATAACAATATGTATGATGATGGGATTAATGATCAGCATGGCGGCATCAATACCGAAGATATTCCTCGACATCATTATAATAATATCATTAATTATTACCAAAATACTAATAATGATTATTAGATGAAGCATCAAATTCAACAAAACATCATGGTCCAGCAGCATTAGCTCAGTGTGATCGATTATCCATGTTCCAATCGTTTTGGAACAGGAGGGTCCACCCGCTCTATATTTTGACATAGTATGGGCTATGACCTGAAGTGTTGACTACCCCTCGGTATCGTGTCTGAAATGCACATTTTAGGAGTAACTCAATAATTAATAATTAAATTTAATTAAGGTTTCGTTGGTATTGTAAAATAATTCATCATATTTTATTGGAATGTCCGATCAACGTCGCTGAAGAGTTATTTTGTAGACAATCTTTGATTGTATATAATAAGCTTTAAAAAGATTGAAAAACTGTTTCGGTTATTCCACGTAGAATTTCATAGGGAACAACTTTTGTTCCAACAATTTTTACAGGCGATGGTGCACGTAGTCAGGATCTGCGGCAAGAGTTTGTGTCGCGTACCCCTGCAACAAGGGCTTCCAAAAACTTCAGCAGTTATTACCAGAATCAATAATTTTTAATTGTAACGTAATCGCTAGATAGCCCAAAGTGCGCTCTACAAAATGCTGAAAACTCGAACTTTCTATCTTTTTTCTCTCTCGAGTTATTCAAAAGACATCCATGTTCACTCTATTCAGCAATCAATAGTAGAAATCCAGTTTGCCTAAAACCGAGTACAAATAACAGCTTAAGGGTAACATTTTGAGAAGGCAGATACAGGGATTTGTAGCGCTTCGAAATCTTTGTCGAACATCGTATTACTTCACAATTTCTGATAAACTCTTAATTTGCAAATAAAAGTGTAAGGCACCGAAGTGATATTAATGAGTATTCATTTGCATTGATTAATTATAAATTATTATCTTAAAAAAACGTTTTTCATCACACCATAACAACAGGTCATTGGCTATCCAGCAACGCATGAATGACTTTTTCTACGATTACTTTTGACTGAGCTACAAGTTTTTTAAAATGAGAGCTAGAACTTTCAATTTTAACTAAAATTTAAACTTAATTAATTAATAACTCTATGAATAGTTATCAGTTCATCGAAAAAACTGAAAGATATATGTAATCAGGTATTCTCTTCAAACTGACATAGTTTGAGAGCACAGATAGGGGGTGTGGGCCCTCTCTTAAACACATTAAACGCTAAAATATAATCGCAGAAAAAGTAAGAAGAGAGGCCGAGTTTGTGAAGCTGTCAAGAGTGTGGCAAAATTTTTGCATGCACTTCAGAAAATATTTCAACTTTCGACGAATTGAATGGTTTGTTACAAGTTGAAATTCTCTGTTTTATTCAGAAAGATATTGTTATTTTAATACAGCGGGACATTCTTATTTCAAAAAATCGCACGGGCATTTTTCTAGTAAAAGTGTTTTTTCTCAAGAACGACAATATATGTTTAGCCTCAATTTGGGCATATACTCTATACCATCGGAGAAAAAACGGTAAGAATATCGCTAAGAAAACTAGAATATTAACGGAGATTTCGGAGAAACCAAATCAAAAATCTCACAGGACATTTAGTATGCGAAGGCCGTTTTCGGAAAAACAGTTGCCACTTTTTACAGTAAGAAGAGCATTGGTCTTTTACTTCCTTTTATCAAAATGATTCTCAAATTGTGGACTACTTTTTGGCTATTTTCGATAAAGCTTACGTTTAGTTTTAGCTGAGATACGCAAGATTCAAACGACCAAAACGATCAAAGTGTTTGTATCAACATTATTTTGATTTATTTGCATAAAAAAGTGCAGCAAACCGTTAATCCATTTAGACTGAGAAACTTTAGTGAGAAACTTAGTCAAGTTATTCATAAGAAAAAGATTTAGAGCTCATTCAATTTTTAGAAAACAGTTCATGTTTCAACAGCAGACGGCGCTAAAAACCTCCACCTGTGACGATGCAACTGTTATATCTTAGCGACAAAAGCAACTAGAGAGTTGCCATTTTTAACGGTAGCGAGCAACGGTTACACAAATCAAAGAAAAGAAAATTAACGAAAGTCTATTCAGTACAAGAAAAGTTCATGCAATTTTATTTCTCGGTTATCGACGGTACAATACCAGCGCAAATCGCAAAAATTTATGATTTGACAATGTTAACTACTTTATCAGCATACACTATCAAATCGATCATCTTTCTTCGCTGTTTGTCTGAGCACTCTCTTTCACTCTTCAGTTCTCTGAATATTCGTATTCCTACTGTGATAGTTCAATACAAAGAAACAAATGAGCTAATCAGATGCAAGCGATGAATGAAGATAAATATGCTTTTACTTTTCAAAAAAACGTACTCTATTGCTCTATATATACGCTTCTTTCGGTAACACATATAACTTTATTGTATTTCTACCTTTTTTCTTTATTTAGTTAATCGAAGCAAAAAAAAGGATTAAACCATCAGAGTAACGACGCAGACTAAATATTTTTTTTCTTTCTGTACCCGAAGCAATAGCCACATGGTATTACTACCTGTTTATTCATCGTTGACAAACTAAGAATGAAATTACATTGATATCATGAGGAGTAATATTCATACACGGTCAACACTTCTTGGTCTAATTATCGGTTTATCTTTTAATTATTTAATAAATAAATTGCCTGTGAATATTAATTTTTCAGCACTGGAAACTGCAGACGATAAAGCAAAATCAACAGCAAGAGAGTAATGTGCTTTATATGTTTATTTGATTGTTTGTTCGACATATTTCTTTTGTTTAGAGTCCCCATATGTTCGATCGCAATACTAATTAATAACTCAGTAACCTATCAATTACAACACAAAGGTGAAGATATTTCATCATGGCGACGTCTACAAATAAGAAGAGATAAAAAGTTGCCGTCTCTCAAATATAATGGTGCAGTTTATCAGTATCGCGGTAATCAAGATGTGACACATATTGCACATCATGTCAAAAACAAACAAAATCTGAAATTACCGATGAAACTCAAATGGAAATATTTTCAATTGAATGTCGGTATTCATACGGCCAGTAAATCAAGTCCAGTTGTTGATCAAACGTCTGTATACGTTGGGGCTGATAATGGGAGATTGTATGCGTTCGATAAATATTCGGGTAAGGTCAAATGGATCTTCGTCACTCGTCCATGTAAAAATGGAATTCACGGAACACCAGCTGTAGATCTTCATCATGTATACATTGGCGATTACGGTGGTTGGATGTATTGTCTGAATAAAAGCAATGGAAATCTCAAATGGGAATCCAAGCTTGGTCAGTCAATTGGTGCTAGCCCAATCTTAGTTGGCGAACGTCTCTATGCAACGATAGAAGTCGGACTACCACGGGCCAATGGATATTTGACGATGTTAGATCGATCGACAGGTGATGTTTTATTCTATTCCGATCCGTTTGGTGATCATTCGCATTGTACACCAACAATATCTAATCAACGAGTGTACTTAGGTGCCAATACAGGACGATTTCATTGTCTAGATATGAATACAGGGCGTGAATTATGGCATTTTAATACCAGAGGTCAACGAGCCCGAAAGTTATATGATAAACAGTTGTGTAAAGAAGATTCATCTCTGTGCACATCGACTCTATCTGCCTTACAAAACACGGTAAAATTCTGGGGTCTTAGACTTTTCAGACAAAACAAGATTGTTTTTTAGGGTGAAATCAAGGGAACAGCAAGTATCGTCGATGATATTGTTGTATTTGGTTCGTGGGACATGTACATCTATGGTCTAAATGCAACAACAGGTCATGAAATTTGGTCATATCGGGTAACTGGCTTGGTCATGTCAAGCTCAGCTATTGATACAAAGCATCGCCGCGTGTACATTGGTTCACATTCGAAAATATTCTACTGTTTGAATTTAGACTCAGGTCATCATGTATGGTCATATGAAACACAGGGTCGATTAATGAGTTCACCGATTCTTGTACCTGTATCATCAATTAGATGTACCCAAGGAATCGCTGCTGTATTCGGTAGTTTTGATACGATTGTATACATTTTGTGTGCAGAAAATGGACAAGTTTTAAGTGAATTGAAATTAGGAATGGGAGCAATAAGCAATGAAATTAGCTTTAACAACAAATCTCTGTATATTTCGACCAATAAGGGATACTTAGTCAAGCTTGACGGTTCTTAATAAACAGCAGTTAAGGCAAACGTAACTACACATTAAAAAACGATCATGATCGATTTAGTACATGAATATAGGAACAGATAACGCTATTCATTAATCCTCACACTAGAAATGAAACCCAGTTGTTGATGACCAAGTGTGTTTCACTTGAACCGGCGACACCATAGTTCATAGTGATAAGCATTACATGATATGCTGATACTGAATATTGCAGCTATCATCTATATAAGAGAATTAAGTGCTTGTAGGCAAGTCAGAATTCGATACAGAGTCAAGTAGCCTGTTTTCTTATAATTTTTACACAATAGCTTCTCTAATTCTCTAACTGCAGTTGAAAACGAAGGGGAGTTTTAGTCGTAGTAATTAGTACTATGGTTGATCCGACTAACAGAAAGAGATACTTCTCCTCCAGAACTTTATATTCTTTACTAGAACACAAAAATCAAAAAGAAATATTTTGAAGAATAACATCGAGTCATTGCACAGCTTCAACCATTGTGCAGAATATAGGAAAGAGCAGCGAAATTGACTTTTGCAGTTCGTCTGCCAAGATCTGATTCGTGTATTCGATCCTAGCTTCGTGCGCGCACTTTGTGTTTTGATAGTTTAAGTTTCAGAATGTTATAGTGGGAATTTATAGTCTCTTTTTCGTTCTGGTTCAAGCCTAAAATTTAAACCAGGTTTATCTAGTATTGAGATAAACGATATAATGAAAATGATTAACTGATATAAAAAATGTTTGTCCTAATTGATTTTCGGTGCGACCAGTTTACTCTGCTACCGTAAAGGAATTTCGTAACGTTTTTTTATCATTTTGTTTTGTAAACCAAACGATGCAGACTGCGACACATCTTAAATCGAAGAAAAAAGTGCTATGAACATTTTAAAACATGTCTCAGCTCTGTAACATGTCTCGTTTTGAAGATCTAATAGAAATACTGGCAACTACTTTTCGATTCTGCAAAGTGTAAATGAGCGAAAAATAGTTGCCAATATTCCTATTAGATCTTTAAAACGAGACATGTTACAGAGCTGAGACACGTTTTAAAATGTTCATAGCAGTTTTTTCTTCGATTTAAGACGTGTCACAGTCTGCATCGTTTTGTTTACCATTTGTAAACAAAACAAAATGATAAAAAAACGTTATGAAATTCCTTTACGGTAGCAGAATTACCTTGCTCTGCCGTTTTGTCATTGGATCGATCTGTCCAATTTTACAAAGGCTTTCTGTGAAGACTATGAGATGAGAATTGTTGAGTATATGTCTTAGACGGATATTCTTGCACAGATAAAGAATTTTATTAATCCGTATTATTTTTGAAGAATTCTGGCAGGAATGCATTGTGTGAAGGAATTCACAGTGGCCGCGGTCATTTTTTTATAAATTTTTAGCGAAACAAGCTGAAGATCTGCCGCTTCATTTGGATAGATAATATTGATAAAATTATATATGTGCAGAGTATTCACAATATATAACTGTTAGAGTTTTATTTTCAGCTTGAGAAAACTGCTCTGTGTGTGGTAGATGTCATGTACTAAAAAAACATATTTTACAAATGAACTGAAAAGAATTCCGTTCAGCGTCTCCGTTTCGACTTTCGTTAAAAAGAAAAAAATGTCCCCTGCGGGGCTTGCCTCATACAGTTGTTGTCTCGTCATCGTCCCATGCCTAGTCCCGCTTTCAAAAAATCTCCGTGAGAGATATATGAGAGGACCGCTCCGTGTGGAATCCCGAGGCCTCGCGAGGATCCTCATCCATCGCCCACCTCTAATACAAACAACGGTTCATTCGTGTTTGTATTTCTAACAGATCACTAAAATCTTCAAGGATGGCTCCATCGACAAATTATTTAATTATAATCATTTCATAGCACTTATATATAATAAATGTTTTTCCGTTCCACAATGAGCAATCACGTCATATTTAGGTGAGATTATGACGTGTGTGATCTATTAAAGTGAGATTTTCCGAGATTTAAATAGCACATCATATACTTTGGCATACGCTCTATCACTTTGCTATTGCAAGTTTTTTCTAGGTGTCACTTTTAACGGGAAAATCGACGATAAAATTATTTTAGGAAAACAGCAGTTAAGCTAGAAGATCATTTTGCGACAAACAATAGACGATATTTATTAAAATTTTACATAAAAATTAGGCATTTCGCTCTATCCATTCAAAAAAAAGCTTTTATTTTGTCTTTTCCATGACCGAGAAAATTAGCTTTCTTTTTTTGCTACGTGCTTTCCGAAAATGTGACGAGATATTTGGAATCAGCGGAAAAAACTGCGTCGAATGGTGTATAATTCAGCGTATTTATACTGACACTTCTGAATTTAGTTGATTCCTTTGTTTCTTGCATGTGCGTATAGGGATTTTAACTGAAATTTTAAAATTTGAAATTACCGACAGATGAAATCGTCTAAACACAATTTCTCCAGGTTATCGATGATTCTCTATCCAATGCAATTGTTTTTGAGTTTTTTAAAGAATTCTAAGTGGTTTCCTAGAGACTGGATCTCTGGAAAACCACTTAGGAAACTTTTTTATAATTTGAAAAGCATTCCATTAGATAGATCACACAAGATAACCTATAAAATACGCGCTTTTAAGTTTTCCTCTAGTTTGCAGGCCAAAAGACCACGTGCCTAGTGAAAATTGCCCACTGTGCGTTCTATGTACAGTTCGTCGATCTATCTTCACTACATTGCTAGCTGCCACTAGGATATACACATTTATTATTGCTAATCAAATAAATACACCAAATTTGTAAAAGATTATGTTAAGCTAAACAGCACAGTTACAAACAAATGAAAGCTACCGATAGGATAGTGTATAATTGTTCTTAATTAGGCGCACTAAAAACTAGTTTTATACGACATTAACGCATTAAATGTTAGTTCAGATTTGTTCACGATTCATTTTTATTAAATGTTTCCTCAGCCATTTTTGTGCCAACGATTCGTGCTCTTATTTTGTCATAACATATTTCTCTGGATGTTGACCTGTCATCGGCAAATGGTGAATAACCACAATCATCTGTCGTACCCAATTGTTCAATCGGAATATATTTGGCCGCTTCTAAAACACGCTCATAGACTTGTTCGGCTGTTTCAATTTCAGGATTAACTGGATCCACTACACCAACATAGATCCGATGATTAGGTTGAATTAGTGGACGAATAGCCGATAAAACCTTGTGGTGATCTTTTTCCGATGATAATTGCATGAAAAAATTCGTTAAATGAAGTTGAAATATATCCTTCAAAATCAGCGTATAATCAACTTCAAATGAATGATAACAATCTTTATCACCACCTAAACACAAACAGAGAAGAAACATCAAGTACATCGGGACATATCAATTTACTTTTAAACCTCTGATAAATAAAGTCCTTTGAGTTCTATGATATTTGTGTCACAATTTTCAAAATATACATAGCCCAAAAAGAAAGTAGTAATACGATAATAACTGAACATTTTTTCTAGCCGACAATTACTTAAAAATGGTTGTACATACATTGTTCCAAGACTAGGCCTGTGACAGTTCATAGTTCACGGAACTGCAATTTCTCGTTAACAAGAACTGGTTTTGCAGTTCGCGTTTATTGAATGGAAACTGATTTTCAGTTTCTGTTCCTGACCTAAGAACGGTTTGGTAGTTCACGTTTCCAGAATAGAGGAACGGTTTACCAGTTTCAGTTCCTGCGAACGGGAACTATTTGATATGGCTAGACTCCTTCTTCTAATCTACGAATCCTCTATCTCCTTTAGCATGTAAAACAATTAGAACCAAACGCTTTCTAATATTTTTATATTATGTAGTAAAGTTTTTTCTTTTCAGTTTATAAAAAAATATGTATAGGCGCACATAACTGTGCAGCTTGCATACCTATAGAACCACGACATTACGTAGATGGTCATTATAAAATTCTGAACATTGGCATGCCAATGGCACCGGAGTTGCTCCATCGCTTCTTTATCAATTATATACAATACATGGTACTATGCGTGAAAGTAGACTACCGTTCGTATATGCCCTAGATCATCTCACATGTATGAAGAGGTTCGATATTACTGTTTAGAGTTCAGCTCGTATAAATGTCTATATTTATCAAAAATTTTCAAATGGAACAACATGCTGATTTAACCATGACTGAAAAATTTGAAGTTGAAATTGTGAAATTGACAAAACGCGCTGCGTATGAATAAATAGATAAACAACTACACTAAAAATTCTCTATAGTGAACAGCAACCGGATCAACGAAAATTGTTCACTATACGTAAGTGTTCATATTACAGAGATTGCTATTGTTAACTAAGTTTAAGGTGATTTCATCCTGAACAGGTAGTTTGTGATGGTTTTCTCCTAGTTAAAATACTTTACTACCTATTCCATTTACTTAAGTTGTTTTTCCTCAAAAGTAGTACAAAATGTTTGCTGCTGTTCAGTTTTTCTTATCATAGTTATTTAATCCACTTTGTACAAGTGTTCTAAAATAAACGGCGTGGCCACGTAACTCTGCTGTCTTAGTGAAATTCCGTGACGAAATTTTGACGCTTTATTCTTTTCCTAGTTTTTTTAATGAAACAACTATCAGAGTTGTGCAACATATCCACTGGTTGAGCAAACTTTTCTGAATCAAATGAAATGTGTCCAGGTTCTGTGTGATCTTTTGTTTAGAAAATACGGAATACACTATTTAAAAAAGGTAGCGTTTAGTATTTGTTTTGTATTTTCTAAACAAAAGATCACACAGAACCCGGACACATTTCATTTGATTCAGAAAAGTTTGCTCACCCGTTGTATATGTTGCACAGCTCTGATAGTTGTTTCATTAATAAACTAGGAAAATTTCGTCACGGAATATCACTACAGTAGCAGAGTTACGTGGCCACGCCGTAAAGATAAATAACTGTGGCAAGAGATAAGAGGCAAGAAGATGGAGACGTTGAACCATTTTTATAGCTCCCGTTAATTTCGATTGACCTTCACCTTCG